GTTTTGTTAACAAATCTGAATTTTTATTGTTTTCTGGAGTGGGTGCTGCTACGTGGAAATGAGTCGTGCTTCAAGTAGAAGGGTACGAAAGGGTTTCATTTCTCTCAGATAGTCTGGAAGGTTATATAACTTTTTCTATTTTAGTGATATATACCAGTAAATTATATAAATAATAGAATTTAAAAAATTAATTTATATAGAAAATCTAGCAATTTGCAAAAAGAATTTTTTACAATAATGTTTTGTTGGGAAATGTAAAGATTGTTTCTTTAAATGTGTACGAAATTTCTCTTTTATCGTATACATGGAAACACTTTCAATGAAGAAATCCATTGTTGTTAAAAATCACCCCATTGAGATGAAGAAATCACTTCTTAAAAATCACGCCAGTAAGATGAAGAAACCCATTGTTTTTAACAAAAGTCAACCCCCTCAGAAGAAAAAAATTTGCTTACCTCTCTAAACAAAAATCACCCCCCATACACGGAGAGAAAGATTAAAAAAATTCCTTGTTCCACCGAACAAAACTATATCTTTAAACTAATCATTCTAAAATGCCTTTTTTTTCCAAAATGGAGGCAAAAACCTCCATATAAACGTACGAGAATGTCCTATTGTGATAGATTTCAGCGATAATGCGTGTATCATCATCAAGTTAATCAACATTAAAAATGAAATTTTGAACTGAGATTAAATATTTAACTGTTAATAACACATTGGTGAAAGAACGTGGCATCACCATTCGCATACTTCTAGATGAAATATCACATAGATGTTAGAGGCATGAACATCCCTTCATGTTAGTACTGATATTAACAGATGTTTATGCATCTTGCACCTCTCAGTATCAAGTGCTTTTGCTTTTACAAATCAACTTATACGCCTGTTGAATTGTCTTTTCCAAATCTTTAAGAACCATTGCCATATTATTCAATATCATTCGTGATCTACCATCGATTCTTATATTATTCATATATTATTATAGAGATATCCTATCAATAAACACCTACAATAATAGATGTTTAAGTTTCTCAACTGTTAAGCATTTAGGATATTCTAAGGCTGATTCCACATATATTTTGCCTTTCAGTTATGTCGTGAATAATCATCTAAAATGGCACAAATTAATTAAACTTTGGGTATTTTTTCTTATTATTGTCCACACCTTTAGGTTTTATACCTTTTCTATAGTCTATATTTATATAATATTATACCGTTTATTGTAGAATAAGATCAAGAGCCGTCTTGCGAATTGATATTATAGCGGTTCTTCCAGTAAGGACCTCATAAATCTGCATTACAGTAATCGTAGCTAAAGTGAGATTAACGTTTTGTCTACCATCTAGTAGATTTACTGGGTGTAAACCAACTACAAATGATGGGGGTGTATGGGTGTAGTATTGCTGTGTTTTTGGGACGAACTTGTGTGTTACAATGGATGCCAATAAAAGGGCTATTATAGCAATTGTTTATGGCTATGAAACCTACAATTTTATTGTTTCACTTATGAAATTTTACAGGAAACCGCATTTTACTAACGTCTTTTATCGTTTTACTTGGCTTTAAACGTTCCTTAACATCACTACTCATTTTCCACATTTTCCATAATTCTACCGATTTAAAATCCATGGAAAAACTATAAAATTGCATTAAAAATAAGAGCCCAATTCAAAATCTTACAAAAACTCATGACTTTATCCACAAAACATGCGTTTATAACGGAAAAAATCCGAAATTATAATGCATTGAACGTAATCTTGAAATGGCTAACGGAGCATTTCAAGATGGAGTAATTGAATTTTTTTCTTTACAAAATCGAACGTGACTAAAACAGAATAGGAAATAATCAATCAAAAAAGAATTATCGTTAAATGTTTGCCATCAATTTTAAGCCCCGGGTCATAATCGATACTAATTTTGTACAGGAGTCTTTTGTTGGATGAGTCAAACTCGTGTTGAGCAGATTGAAATTAAATTGTCGTAAAAATGGATGCGTGACGTTTACATGCCGGATTTTTTTTTTGCATGGGAACTTTCATAATTTAACAATTATCAACATAAATTGCACGGGGAACGACATAATTATAACGCCTGACGCAAGTTTTCACAAGGGATCGAGTTTTCACACTTCTACTCTCTGTAAACGAAGCAAATTTCACCAGAATTTCAAAGAAATATCCACATTCTATCCCTTATTCATACTATTCAAGCTACTTTAATGCCTGGAACATGCGAAAGTTGCAATGATCCCTACAAAATAAATAACCCATCAGCTACGTTCGCCATTATGAAACATGTCAAATTTCTCGATTAATTTTTAAACTTCATGATTCTCTTTAAGTAATCCTTAGTAAATTATGTTCCAGATTTATGCTAATATGAAATTCGTCCTTTTCTGCGGACAGGAAACTGTAAATTAAGCCAAACATCCCAATAAGTTCGATGATATCCGATTCACACTCCATAACTTGGGGTATATTTTTATAATAAATTTATTTTATTATAAAATAAATAAATTAAATTTTGTTAGGAGAAAATATCTGCTACTCACTATTATTAATCTATTTTATTACATTTAATAAAATCACAAACGATTTAATCACTAAAAAATACCTCCGAAATTTATGAAATTTTGAAAGAACGTCATTAATTTCGGCGAGGAGAAGAGCCAGTTTGAGGATATACTTCGACCCCCTCGTGGAGTATTATATCCTAGTTACTGGTGTGTCGTCAGTGCAGACAAACACACGACTTTGACAACGTTGACAAACCAGATTTAGCGCCAAATACTCTCATCTCTGGGCGACTTTTATGTATCTGCTTGGCAGTTTGCCTAACAAAAACGTTGGAATTATTAATCACAATCGCAACAAATGTACTATTAACACAATTAATTAACAATATATTCGAAATTTAAGTGTTTGGTGCATTAATTTAGGGATCGAGTGATCAGAAATTTGCATAAATTTGTATGTTTTGAAGTCATCTGATTGTTTTTATACGGAGAATTTGGCCCTTTGGTAATGTAGGCAAGAGATATTTTCATAAATAACTCGCAAGTTCAAGGCCTTTCGGTGATAGTAATCAGCAATTAAACATCTAGAATATGCAAAAAATATATAATTATAAGATTGATTTGAAGCAAAATTTGAGTCGGAAGCGTAAAAAAATGCGTAGAAAGAGCATAAATATAGCTTCAGAAGGTGAGTTATAGTTTCGTGGGGCCCAATCGAATTTGAATTTGGGGGCCCCACATACAATATTGACTTGTGACATTTTTCTTCGGAGGAGTTTTGGGGAAGTAAAAGATTAGTTTGGGAATAATCTATGGGAAAAAAAAGGGCAATTGTGTGGGGACCCCAGACAATACCAGTGCTTCAGAAGACGATGTCACGCTCAAAATTTATTAAATTTAATCGGAAAATATTTAATAAAATCGCTTAATGCATGCAAATTTAGTGGGAAAACACGAAAACCACGAATTTGATGAAAAAAAATCTCAATTTAAACAGAAAAATAATCGAATGTAGAAGTTTCGGGCATTCTTCTCACCACGATAAAGCACGCAACGCGTTGTTTACGTTGCAAATTTTCGAGTAAATCGAAGAAAAAGCCGTCGCGAAAACGTCAACACCAACACCAACAACAACAACAACAAGAAAGAGCTACATACTCGGCAGCGGATGGTCCTGGATATTCACCTTCCAAATAGGAATCGCTTGAACATTCGCTAGATATTGGCTCCGATTGTACTTCGACATTCATGGTTAAAAATCTGACTCCTGCCGTTTGAATCTCGGCTCGACTGACAGGTTGGTCACTGGCACCGGAAGTAGGGTCCATTTCTATGTCTGAGTCGATGCCACGATCTAGATCCATGTAGAAAGTATCGCGTGAATCGCTGGATCCTCTTCGTAGGCGTAGGCTTAAATTAATGCTGCTCTGATCGTCATCGGAAGTATTCATCTCTCGATTACACGCGCCGATTCATTAAAATTTACTACGACTTACGACTCGTAAATGATAATTCGTCGTGTAAACCGACCGCACTCGCCTCTCTGTCACGTTTACTCACGTCTTCTCCATCGATCCGACGCCTAGCGCCATCTGAATTTCAAAATTGGCGTCACACGTTTTTCGTATTTAATTCATTTTATTTTATTTTTTTTTTAATTATTGTTTAAAATTCTCCGTCGTAAAACGTTTAACGCGATAATATATTTATTTATTTTTAAATTTTATTTAAAATTATTTAGCGATAATTCCGTACGCTGTTTAGATTAAATACGCGTGTTCGTTAATTATACGGTTTTTTATATTGTTGTGTATTAATGACGCGTAATTTAGAAATAAATTGACGAAAATATTGACTTAAATGTTATTTTTCTTTTTTTTTTAAACTTACAAGTGAGTTTATTTGGGAGTTTTTAACGTATTGGGGGTATAGCTCAGTGGTAGAGCATTCGACTGCAGATCGAGAGGTCCTCGGTTCAAATCCGAGTGCCCCCTGGTAATAAAAAGTAATTTTTCTTCAATTTAGCTTGAACCTANATTAATTTTTTTTAAATAAACGTAAAAATCGATCGAAATTTTACGTTTTTATATATTAATTAAAATATTAAATATCTTAATTTTAAAATTATACACGAAAAGTTTCGTAAATACCACATTTTCGAAGTAGTTTAATGGAAAATTATGTTTAATTTTTTTAAGTTTAAACAGTGCCCCCTGGTTGAATATCTTTTTTTTTTAAGTTTTAAAATTATTATTATTATTATCAATTCATGTTTTTATTTATAAAAAGTTAAAATTAACCGAAATATTATTTTAAATTTAATTAGGTATGAATATTTTAAATTAAAAAATAATTATGTGCAAAAAATCCCTGCAAATCATAAGGGAAAAAGGGATTAATACTGATTTTTATTTTTAAAAATTTAAATAGTGCCCCCTGGCTGAGAAAATTCTTTTAATGTTATTAAAAATATATTATTATTTTTTTATTTTTTATTAGTTAAAATCGGCAAAAGTCTTATTTTCACCATTAATTAAAACATTAAAATAATTTGAATTTAAAATAGGTGAACAAAATAGTGCCCCACACCTAACACACACTTTAAAATAATGACTCGGCTATCAAAGAATCGTCCGATGTCGATGATCTTCTGTTAATGATAACGTAGATGCTCCCATATATGAAATAAGCGACACCAAACGTTATATAGTAAATTGCATAAGAAAAGAACTGAAATGGGAAAATATATTTTTAAAAATGTAATTAAATTTAAAATTATACATAAATATTTATGAGATTACTTGTAATATAGGGCCGAAATGTAGGCCGCTCTTCCCCACGACAATGGCTGTTAAGATACTTTGAAGTACGAGGCCCATGAACGTGTTGAAACCAAAAATTAATCCGTGACTATCTTTCGGTATAATCTTGGCAATTTGGTAGCTAAAAAGTAAATAAAATGTAGAAAAATTAATAATTTACACCTCTAATAAGTAAATTTTAATGTCGCTCTGAAGGATCCGGGTTCGATTTCGAACGAATTTTCAGAGTTTTACTGTTTATGCGGCTCTGTGATGTTGTGTGTGCTGGATTTCCTCATTTTCAATCATTTTATTGGATGAAAAGCAGAAATCATAATGGGCACGGGCCCTTTTTTAATGAGGTTTTGCGGGTAATTCTGGGCCTAGAGCTTTTAGAATTCTTTCACTTTTCGAAGTTCCGAGACCTGTTCGATGGCCTCTAAAACTGAGTGAAGTTCGAGGACTTTCGATCTTAGTTCCAATGATGTTAATGATAGCGTCGATGAGATCCGTAGGCGACAATTTCCGTTGTTCTTACAAAGCAATTCGAAGCCCCTGAGGATGAGAATGAAGAACAGCAAAACGCCAACTAAGTGCATTGCAGAAGACAGTACATCCATCTTACATAACATACATAACTCTACATAAGCATCAAATGACGTTGCACCATTGTCCCATAATGAGTTTAGCCAATTATGGCAATTTTCCCATTTGTTCATTCAAGGTATTAAATATTGCGTGATACTTAAGCTGCATAAAGAAGGCCACGCTTGCATAGAGCCTCTTGCAATCTAAAACTGCCATGACCCTCTTAATGCCTGTACGTTTTAGTGTAAAAATAAAAAAATAATTACCTAATTATAGTTATTAATGCTTGATACGAGATCCTAACGAACATGTAACCGACGTAACATATCCAGATGTTTTCGATCCACGACATAAAAATTAGAAAAATGGCATCTATGATAGTTACTAAGCCAAGAATTGCATTGCCGAAGAGGAACAAATTCAAGGAGAAGAAACTTACGAGATAAACTGCGATGGCCCCTATAAAAATTTGACAAATTATTTAAATGTTACATCGAAATGGAACGTATAATAACTAATTTTATAAATACAGGCTGGCCCGTAAGTCAGTTAACCGAAAACGACCGAATCACGCAGGTGTTCGAAATTGGTTGTAACGATCTTAAAAATATATATGTAGGGTTAACTGATTTTTAGGCCATACTGTAGATTTACCGAGAATGGTGGAAGTTGCTTCTACTGCACCATTGTATATATGTACTTGATTCTCGTTGAAGGATGTCTTTGAAGGTAAAACTTCTTCCCATAGATTCTGAATGTAATTTCCAACCTAGAGAATAATGATGCACAAATATCTTTAATTTATTACGTTAATTAATTACATTCTCTTGTGTAAATTTAATGCCCTTAAATCTAATTTTGGAGATTATTTTAAAACCCTTCCCGTTTTGTGGACACTGAGGGAACTTTTTTATTAACAAGCCCATTATGGGTTCAGCCATGCCCACCCAGAAGGATAGTGATTTATGTTACATAGGCTTAGGAGCCACTACTAGATCACTAAAGCGGAGGATCAAAGAACATAAAAGTAACATCAAAAAAGAGCAACCGGTTACAACCTTGGCGCCCTACTCTATACAGCAGGGGTCACCAAACTACGACCCGTGGGCCAGATCCGGCCGGTGAGATCAGTTCATCCGGCCCGCCACCGCACTGTGCCACAAATAAAATATAATTATTTACATGGAAATATCAAAGATTGTGAAATGAAACTTGTATCTGCATAATTGGGTTCGATTTCGATTTGGTGGGATACGGCAACGCAACACATGAGCGATCTGTTAGGGAGGTTACCTCTTGAAAGGACTTTCTACAGTAAACTGGCCCCTTATTTAGGTGTTAGCACCTAAATAGGGGCCAGTTTTCCATGAATAAGTCCCTTGGCAGATCACTCATGTGTTGTTTTGCCTTATCCCATCATTCCAATCCTTCACAAAATGGGATTTGTATAATAGTTTAAGTACTGTAATTCAATTACAACACTACATTATTAAGTACAGTACAAATTTTTATCCAATATCAAATATATTAACAATTATAATTAAAAATTAATTGAAATGAAAATTTTTGTAATAGTAAAATTACCTGAAAATATCCACAAGTAGCCAACGCCCACCATATTGACCATTTTAATATATGTTTATTTGCGTATGAATTCTTTAATTCCGTCATCATGGTTTTAATTACAATCTTCATTTTTGTGTATTTTTTATTGGCCTGAAAAAATTTTTTAAACACGTATATCCTGCTTTGTGACATATTTTAACTCTATTCAATCTTGAATTTGATATATTTAACATTTATAGCTTCAAGATGTCTCCATACAGAACTGAAACTATAATTTCGGATGTAGAATAAAGCCACAGCTATAGACTAAAACCATAACTGTAGAATTGAGCCACAGCTACAGCCTCGAGCCACAACTGTAGACTCAAGCCGCAGCTGTAGACTGTAGACTCAAGCCACAGCTGTAGATTCAAGCCACAGCTGTAGATTCAAGCCACAGCTACAGACTCAAGCCACAGCTGTAGATTGAAGTCACAGCTTGAAACTACAGCTAAAGTTACAGTTTCAAGCTGCAACGTTTTCAAATAAATATATCAAAAATCCAAAACTGTATAATGTAATTTATTACATAAATAACTTACAGTAACCTCTTCCTCGCTAGTAGCAGATGTTTTATGAAAATAAATACTAGAAGGAGCCGAAGGTAAGCAGACTGCAATTATAAACGATATAGTGACAGAAACCAAAGAAATATAATTCAATTGTCTATAATTCATTAAAGATGTGGAAATCAATATTTGCGATGATACTCCTACAAAGAGAGATTAAAAACCTTTAGAATGATGTATAAAATATAGAATTATCAATCAAAAACTTACCAGTAAAAAATCTCCCTACTAAAAATGCAGCTCTAGTGTAGGAAGTGACTTTCTGATACGTTTCTCCCGATACCATGGAGTAAATGTAAGTGTAATAAGCTATTTCTGATGCTGTACCAATTCCGTACACAAATTGCATAAACTACAAAATAATTCTTGTAATTTTAGTATATTAAAATATTAATTTTGTGTAGTATTTCTTACCTGCATAGCCAGAACACCTTTGGTCCATAGAAGCAAACTCCAGCATGTTATGTAACTGATACTTCCTAGGATGATTATTGGTTTGTAACGTACCAAATCAGTTACCAGAAACACCAACAACGTGGCACCCATGTATGTATATGTCCATACTGGATATACTTCACCGGTAACCTAAAAGATAAATAATCTAAAAATTTTCTAATTAGTCTCGGGAGAGGGGGGATCTAATTCTTGTACACAGTGAAAACGAGTAAGATCGCTTATAATCTAATAATCTTAATCTTTGCTATCGTTACTTTTTGCCCGAGCAACGTCGGGGTCATCTGCTAGTTTAAATATAATAATAAAACAAAATATAATTGTTTAAGTACGGAGTACCTAAAAATATTTACTACATATTATATAAATTATATTGACAAAATGTAAGCAACTTTAGTTTTATAAGAAATAGGGGAAGGTGATGCAGGATGGGTCCACGGGGTAAGACGGGGACGTCTGTTTATTCGTGGTTTCATCTAGCTCTTATTTCGGGAACTAAATGTCAACCTCAAAAGGGATCGCGGGACGAGAGAACGTCCGAATCGCTCTCTTTGTTTGGAAGTAAGACAGTTTTTCACGTTTCGGCAATACTTCGTCTAATTTTACTCCCGCTACAAAGTTTCTACAAAGTAAGCATCATTGTGATCTTTTACATTACCTTTTAGATGAAGTTATTATGGTATTCGAAGTAACCTTTAAGACCGAAATTGTTTA